AAAACAGATGCTTTAAACAACCCTTCCCCCAAACTAAAACAGATGCTTTAAACAACTCTTCCCCCAAACTAAAAACAGATGCTTTAAACAGCCGTTCCCCCAAAATTAAAACTAAATTAAAAATAAATAAATGCTCAATGTAAAAGGACAAACTATGATTTTTTAATCCTTATAGCTTTCCAACCTGATGGTGCAAAACTTTGACATGTTAAACTTTGACTATTTCAGCTAGCAAAATTCATATTTAAAATATGATCTATACACTCTACAAAATTAGATTTGAGTTTGAGGCAAGTTATCATTTCCTTCAAAACTATCACTGGATATAAAAAATTAAAGAATTCAAATAGATACAAAATTTATGACAAAACCTGAAGTTGAATTCAGTAGTTGAACCCATTTCCTCCTTAAGAGCTACGTTAAAGGTGTTTTCAACGATATCATCCTTGTAACCTGGTGCAACAAATAAAATAAATCTGATTTAATAGTACAGGGCTATATATGTTCTTTATAATAAACATTAAAAAACACAAAGATGCACTAGTCCTGGCATTTACAAAATGTGGTTTCCCATTTTTGTGCACTCAATATTACCGGAGATATTAAGAATTTTGCAATGGTTTCAATATATGAAAATTGACAAAATCTGAACATCTTCATAACAATCTGTACCTTGCATAAATGTGGGTTGAGGGGTGAGATCCATTCCATCCAGACTTAATCCAGCTACACTTGGGCTTCACAAACAAAATATTTAAATTATTTTTAAAAAGTTGTATCCGCAATTAGATCGTCTATGCACAAAATGAATTTGTTAAACATAAAAAGCTTTAATCTGATGATATTCAGTGCTCAATGATTTTTTATTATTAAAACTGGTAGATCTATCATGAATTTTAGTGTACATGGTACAGAGATAATTTAAAAAGTTATTTGATTAAAAAAAAAATGTTTCAAAAATTCCCATCAGATCCGATCAGTCCCATGAGCGGGGGAAGGCAGCCGGCCATGAGCCACCACTATTTCCCCTTCCGTGCCACATATTAGCTTTTTTCTCTTCCGGAAGCCATGAGCCACCACTATTTCCCCTTCTGTACCACCACATTTGACTCTTCCGGGGAAAAACTACTTTTTTAAACGGTATATTTTGGGCCTTTAAAGTGTGATTTTAAAAAATCCAGCCGCGTCACGCAAAAAAGCACAACTCAAACCATTTTTTCAATTCCACTTACTTCAATTCTACAATGAAATTTTTGACAAATTTGACTGAGCATTGCATCTTGAAATATCACAAAGTTGGTTAATGAGTGATTTTAAGATGGATTTAGTATTATGAGTCAGTAATTGAATAATCATTAGAATTTGAGATTTGTGTCAAGTTCCTAATTGACTTGATCCTGTATGCTTGATTACAGTATGATTGATCAGCCAGCGGAAGAGAAACTTTGCCAGTGTGCAACTCTAAATAAATTATGAATGAGATATTCTTATTTGCTTACAAGAAAAAACAATATTTTCGATTGTTGTTTCTCTATATAAGGCATAAACATTAAACAATGAAGGAAATTTCCATAATTTAATGTTTATTTTTCTACATATGAATTGAAACTAATACAACTAGATTCTAGTACAATACATGGCAACGTAGAATTTGTACATTCTCATTACAACAAGTGTCAACTTAGTTTTTGTGTCTGACAAAAATATTAATAATAGTGATACTTTTAGAATAATTTGATTATATTACATAACAATTTTATGCAATTTTTTGTATTCTTTATTTTCTGTTTGGACACTTTTTTATTTAATCTTGAAAAACATGTCAACTAATGTGAGAAAATTTCGTTTTTCCTGTTATATTTGACAATTATACATGTCGAGTGTATATTTGGTTCATTTCCTGTTGCCACCTATTGTACTTAATATTCTCTTAGGCTAGATAAATGTTTAAAGGCTATACCGTTGTAAATCAGACATGCTAAACTTTTTAAATGGAGACTTATACTTAACACTGAGCAATCTCAGGTTTATTGGCTTGGGATTTTAGTTCTGAAACTTTATTAATTTTTTCTCTTATTTTTTTTTTGCGATATTTTTTTTAACTAGTTATGAGAGGGTCCCTAAATTTAGTTTGAAGAGATATAAGATAAAATCACGATAATCAGACTTTTTCATGCCGTGTCCAGTCAGTCCGGCAGTTGACTTAGGGATTTCATTTTTTGTTACAAAATGTCTTCAACTGTGAAAGAATAGTAACAAAATCTGGAATTTTACGATTAAGAAAATATAGCAAAAAAACTCAGAATAAAGCCTTGACACTTCAGTAATGTTTGGCTTTAGACTTGAAAATGCACTTGATTGACTTCTTAATAAGGGCTCCACAGGGTTTTTCTAATTTTTTATCTACCCAAGATTGAATTGACAAAACTAAAATGCCAGAAAACCTGAAATTGCTCTGAACAGAGTTGAGATAACTTTTGAGTGCGAAGACTGTGTTGATGTTAAGAATTGTAAAGAGAATTCCTTTCATAAAATAAAATGAGGTGATTTTGTTCTTTTTGCAATTGATTCTGACTTCAAATTGATTCTGACTTCAAATTGATACTGACTTCAAATTGATTCTGACTTCAAATTGATTCTGACTTCAAATTGATTCTGACTTCAAATTGTTCAGAAAATAAGGATCTTCACTTATTCTTTTTTTATTTAAAATATTTGTTTGTTCATTTCAACTATTTTTAAATGATTGTATGACCTATAATTTATAGCTTCATGAAATCTCAAAATTTGAAACTGCTAATGTTTAAAGAAAACAGTTCAACGAGCAAATAATTGTTTAATTTGTTTTGTTTAAACAACCAACAGTTCAAAACATCAATAGTTCAAACGGCAGTAGTTCAAACATATATTCATCTAAATTGTGTTCGAACTTACAGCTGGAATTTTGAAATTACGAACAGAATATTAAAGAAAAATATATTTTTTTTTGTGAGATATTTCTAACATTCTGTTAATTGGACTGTCCTTGTCAACCAATTGATACCTAATTCAACTTCAGCAGTTTCGTAAACTTCTCCTTTCCAGCAGTACAGGATACTAAAGTAAAATACACTTCGGAATAGGAAGACGACTTTTAGACTCAAGTTTTGATTTTAAATCGTCAAAGGAGCATGAAACATAGCAATTGTGCATTCTTAATACCTGGATATCCTAGTCTTGTTACATGGATATCCTAGTCTTGTTACCTGGATATCCTAGTCTTGTTACCTGGATATCCTAGTCTTGTTACCTGGATATTCTAGTCTTATTACATGGATATCCTAGTCTTGTTACCTGGATATACTAGTCTTGTTACATGGATATCCTAGTCTTGTTACCTGGATATTCTAGTCTTATTACCTGGATATCCTAGTCTTGTTACCTGGATATACTAGTCTTGTTACATGGATATCCTAGTATTGTTACATGGATATTCTAGTCTTGTTACCTGGATATTCTAGTCTTGTTACCTGGATAT